TAATACTAAAACTTTTTTATTTATTTATTTTTAGCATTTTCTGGCATTTTCTAGGGGTTTTAGCGGACCTATAAAATATAGTTACTACGTAAAAATGGTTAAGTAAATTATTGGGTATTATTACTGGGACTCTTCTGCAGAGAAACAGAGTTTTCTGGTCTAAAAATATTGATTTTCAAGAATTCTATACCATTTCTACGAAAAATGTTTTTTCTTTTCTCTAAATATTTTTTGATTTCAAAATAAAAAATTGGGGTATATTTTTTCAGTATAGAACAATCCTAGGGGGTGAGAGCATACAAATTCCGACTCTACTTTTTCACGCGCATTTTTGGACCATCTTAATGTTGATAGATACTATGTACATATTTACGCACGAATGCATGTAAACATATTCATTACTGTTGTTTATACGTACATATGTACATAAATTTGTACATATATTTATTCTATTCATGGAACATTTAATTATTTGCGCAAATCTCGCTTACAAACATAGCACCACTGAATATCAACAAAGACCGTTTAAACAAAAGCGAGCGAAATATATCTAGCAAACAAACATAAAAAATCGGACAGCAACACAAATAGAGAAACATCAATAGTAAAACACAAAATGCTGAAAAAAAAAGATACGAAAAAACAGAAACAATAAAAATTGACATTCTAGGAATTCAGTTCAAGCAGGCGTCTGCAGAGCAACGAAACCAGTTTTGGCCCAATTGTGCGTGTTGTATCTTCTTATAATGGCCTGAGTGGAACAGGTATGTAGTTCGGTGGATGGAGTAGACATTGCATCGATTTCGACTTTTTGTCAACGTTTTCAGTTTTGTTTCTAGACTCAAAATTTTTTATTTATTTTTTTCAGTTTTTGAGGTTGCCACCAACAAATGCGGCAGGTAGCTGTGAACGCACAGAAGTCTACAGGCAATAGAACAGCGAAGAAGGAGCATATGGAGGAGAGGTCAAATTGCAGACGTGATGAATTTTCAGTAAAAAAAATAAATGTTTGCATAAAAGTGTAATTTGAAGAAACTAGGCGAATAAATGACAGAAAATACGAGGAGGGATCGTAGATAACAAATGAGGATACATTTTTTGTATGAATTTCACATGAATTGAGAATTTGCAACTAAAATTGACGACGTACGTACATACATACATATGTAGTAGGTATGTTGAGCGGTGGCAGAATTGATCGGCATATTTACTTTTGTAACTAGTGCGTTAAATATTCAGCCCTATCGCTGATTCCGTGTGAATAAACTGTTCCCATAATTTAACATGCAAAACAAAAACCAATTTGGGGAAAATTATTTTGGATTTTCTTTATAATTTTTGGGAATATTTGTTTACGTGAAATTCGCTATAGGGTAGATTATAATTATCGGCATACGCATAATTGTAGCATAACTTTACGCGGCGTTGTTATAGGCACTCCATCCACACGCACACTTGCTCACTCGTTCATCGAAAATGACCTTCAATAACTGCCATCAACAGGAAATGCGTGCAATGCGCGCTTGAAAATTTTTAAAAACAAAAACGACCCACCACTTCTGGTAAAACACATGCATGCGTGCATATGTATGTGTGTATCAATAAAATACATTAGCTACAACAACGTGTTTGCATCGACGTCCAACATGTTGCATGCTACGTCGAGCAAACTTTTATTGGTTTACTTGCTGTTCATATCTACAAGATACATTTTGTACCAGCGTTCCATCAAATGTTTGTCGCACTTTTTCGCACTTCATACTTCCCCTCAACATTTTTCGAAAGCATTCAATGTTTGCAGCGAACATGTTGCAGATGCGACATATTGAAATATTTTTAGTTTGCTAGGATAAATTTAACTTTTAGCGGTGCATTAATTTAAAAACTTTGTCAGAAACAAAAAATGAAGGCACAATTGCTCTTGGCCTTTGAATACACATTGGGCATAAAATATTTATAATCAACTGCTTAGGTTAAGTTACTATTGTATTAAATTAAGCGTTAAAGCGTCAATTCCAAAACTAAGTATTTCTGCGTTGATTTATTGTACAATCTAAAACCGTAAAAAAATATGTCCATATATAGTTTCAAAAAACAACAATGCAAAAGCATTTAATATCTGTAAAAGAGTTTTACTTGCATCACTTTGTATGTAAAAGGATGCTGTAAATTCTTACATGGCCGCATAAAAAACTCAAATGAATCTACTCACAGATTGGCTACATACCAAAGTGGGATGAAAGCTAAAGTTGCTGGAAAAGCACATGGCGAAGCTTTCACTTACAGAACTGTTAAATATTTTTTATATATAAAAAACTTGTCTCCTAAAAGTGGCAACTTTTACACAGACTCCTCCTTCTGCTGTATAGCGCCTAGCGTATTTTCTAAACTCCTTGCTTTCTAAAAGCATCGCAACAGACTCCGGTTGGAAAAACCTTAAGCCTTTTAAGCGTAGCCATCATAAGTGTGCAATACAATTTCTTGGTCAAAAAATATTTAGGTTTAATTAAGGTTTTTATTTAATTTTTACGAACAACGCGTTAAGGTCTTCCTTTTGTCATTTCTCTAAGGAATATTATTTTTTAATAGGCATTCTAAGCATTAGTATCAATTCAAAAAGGATTTTGCTCTAGAATAATTTTTTTTTTAATTTTTAAGTCAATGCAAGGCGCCCAAAAATAAATATGTAAATGGATTCTGGAAGATTTAAGTTTTATTTTAATCCTGGAAAATTATACCTTTTTTTACATACGAACTTTAGTTATATGTACTTCGTCAAATAAGGCATATATTTTTTTTTTTTAATTTAGCGGCAAAACATTTACCTAAATAAATAAAGGAAAAAATGTTAAAGGAATTTCTCTTATTCTAAAAGAGGAAAAAACTATACATAAAATCGTTTTTTATCAATTTTATTGTAGCTTACTAATATTTTTATTTTAATATTTTTATTGAGCTTTGCACCACGATTTCGTTTATTAGGGAAAAATTTAAAAAGCAAAAAAAGTCGAAGCGGTAGAAGTTATAGCAGCTATTTCGGAGATCACCACATCTCCTCATCAGACTTTCTTCTTTCTAGACTTCTGACTTTGCACATCGATGACGCGGGCTCGATCCCTGCTGAAGTCTAGAAAAGAAGCTCAATAAAAATATTAATGTACATAAAACCGTTATAATTTTTTTTTTGCCATAAAACTGGATATGACTTCGCCTCGTCCATACGACGAATTACATATTACCGTCTAGCGTTAAAATCATTTTTTTTAATCAAATTTTAAATTAAAAAAATTCTAAACTAAACAATACAGCAGGAATTACAGAAACTTTGTTGCAGTGCAACATGGCGTTAAGCAGAAATCCTAATATTTGTACATATACGGCGAATTTTACATACATATGTGTTGTAAGTGCATGCCAGTGTGACCATGTTAGCCATTTTGAGGCTGGAGGGTGTACAGCTGGAGTCAATCGATACTTTTGGTAAGTAGTTACTATACTAATCCGTGGTATTACGCATGGTAATGTAGAAAGGGGGCGTTCATACATCACGCAAGTAACTACTTTAGTAACTTCTGGTTTTGCGGAGGAGCCGATGGTCACTACCGCCTAAGACATTGCCTTGCAAAAGTAGTCGCTGAAATACATGGCAAGTAGACGATCGGTAATCGACTGACTTTACTTGGTAGCTACCGATTCATCAGTCCTGTAGTCGCTCCCCCGTACTGCAAATAGATTTAGCATTTGAATTTATGGCATAACCCCAAAGCTTTTAGTCTATCTTCGTGGCTTTTTTCTGGCCCTTTTTTATATATATTATATATAAGAAATTCTTAATAAAATTTGTATTGGAACTTATAAAAATAAGTATTAGTCATACTTGAAATCCTTAGTACATTCGCAATCGACATTTTTTAAACTATATATTTTTTAAATAATTTTTTGGCGTTGTACCAGTGTCCTCTGGTGTGGAATTTGTGTTTTTTTTTTGGTTTGATGCTCCATATTTGCGTTTTTCTTATCCTAAACTGAATTTCTTTTTGCATGCCTTCAAGTAATGCAGCTGTCATTAGCCTCATAGACAGTCATATTGTATTTTGATGAGAAGAGTTTAAAAATTTATTTAAAGAAAATCGGTTTCGCTGAACTTGTTGAGTTGGTATGAATATACTGACTTCTTTCTAACTTAATAGGTTATAACTTTTTCTTACTCCTTTGCAAAACCAATTCAGCTTGGCTATTTGTAATGATCTGGTCACACATCGGTACGTATGTATGTACATGCTGTCAGTTGCGTATGTACATACGTATGCATGTATGACCCTTGCTTTAAGGCTGCTTTTAAAATGCATAGTTGCAATCAAACTTGTTCAAATCTGTGCTGAAATTCCCCTAAAACAACGCCGCATTATGCAAACGCTTCTTCCAACATTACCCATGTTGGAGTTCAAAACAAATGTTCATGGATAACCGGTTTTTCGCCAAACACGGTCGCAGCGAACAGCTCAGCTCGCCTGTGTTTTCTTCTTGAGAGAGCGTTTGAGTATGATTAGGTCTGACGCTGTCAAATGCAACAGCCAACAAATGGAGCGTCCAAACATGCTCGGACACCGATACCACGGCCAGCAGCTACTAATAAGACCTACCCACCACCGACTAACTCCCTCCCAATGGTCACCGCCAAAACTAGTTTCACACCGCCATACGCGTTCCTGCAACCACAATTGTATACATAAGTATACTTTGTGACGCGTCTTTCTAACCCAGCAGCTGGTTAATCCAGCGATCGTCCTCCACGCCAACTTCGTTGCATTCGACACTTCGGTTTGGTACAATGTTTCGGCGCATTTCGCTGCTAGTTCGGCTTAATGTTTCGGTATTGTAAATGCCGCTTCACATCGCGCTTTTCGGCTTGGCTTGCAAATGTTGCACCACGTCCAAAGTCTCCTTCGTTCGTTTGCGCCTTCGTTGCCACTCTGGTCGGCCGGCCAACGCTTGTTTGTCTGCCGGCTGACTGTTGTTTTGGGTTGCTTCGCTGCCATTTGGTTGACTGGTGTTTCGTATAGAAGTTTTTAAATTGTTTGCCGTTGCAGCCAGTTGCTTCAGTTGGTCGTGAGCGGTCGTGAGTTGCTGATGTGATATTTGGTAAATTTTAGATCGGCGGATATTTTTGTGAACTAGCCAGTAATAATTGACGCAGTATTTGTCGTCGTAGTTTACGTCTATAGCGAATGGAAAAGCGTGTTTACCCATAACCAGTCTTGTACACTGAGTCACACATACATAGGCACTTGTATGTACGTGAGGATACAAAAGTAGTATCTGGTTGAATGAAAATTCGTTGCGCTGAGCTAAACGCGGAAGGCAAGTGCTTTAGCGACGGTAAAATGCTTTTGCTGCTATGTTGTGTTTGAAATTTTTTTGAAGTTTCTTAAAAGTGGAAATCATTCAGTGAATTTGTGAAAAATAACAGCAAAATTCTAAGCAATAATCGAAAGTACGTCTCGGCTTAAATTGCAGAGAACAAAAAAGATTTTTGAGAAAGAAAAAATAATCAGAAAAAATTCACTTATTGCCGAATAACGATTGAAAGTTGTTACTAAATTAAAATAATAGTTTGAACAAAGTTTATAAAACATTAAATTTCAGAGTCAAACGAGATGTGAATGCAAACTGCCAATTAACAAAAACAAAAACTTGAAAAACATCCTAAACCTGATGTTGAAATCTACAGCTATTACAAAAAAAAAATAATTAAAATACTTCGTTGTAATTTTCAAACTTAAGATAAACGAACGGAAGGCAAATCAAAAGATTTACTCTTAGTTAATTACAACAAATAAGAAAGATTTTTTGACTAAAATTCATCTCTCAAAAACAAAACAAATTTCCCAAGAACAAGTTTAAAAAAAACATCGTCTCTAGACACGGTTTCTATTAGGCTCCGCTCATGTAGACCAAAAAGTGTCAAGTACAAAAGTATTCAACTAAAAAGTGCAAAGTAAAAATATTCCGAAGGCAAAATCTTGAATCCTAAGAAAGCAAAATCAGTTCAAAGCCTTTCATAGTGAAAATAAAAAACAACAAAAGAATTAAAAGAGAGCATAAAAGAAAACTACAAAAACACAAAGTAAATAAAGATTTAAAAAAAATGTCCACAAAAAAGGAAATCAACTCCACCCTAATGATGGCTTTTACCATCACAACGTTGCTGGGATTTATAAATGCGCAGGCAGTGGGCTCCAAGGATCTCTTCAGATGCCGCCAAAGTTGCTATCAAAAGGTGAGTGAGTATCGCATGACGATGACAAAGCAAAAATGCAAAGAAAATGGAGAAAAGAAAAGGAATAGCGAATGCAATAATAAAGGGGCGAGGTAGAAAGAAAATCAACAGGGAAGAAAAACTGGGGAAAATACATACATACATAATCATTGCAATATGGTACAAATATGGTAGAATAATAGTAAACTAAACAAAATAGGCTCTCAGAGTCACCGGCTGTAATGAAAGCAAACAACATACATACATACATATCTATCCACGACAATATTCGTATTTTAGGCCCTTAATGAACCGAACTCTTGTTTTGGTCAAACTTTCTGACTGCTTTAAAAATGTTTAATTTATTTAATTTACTATCTAAGTGCAAGCGACGCGGATGATATCGAAGACCGATCGGAGAGATTTAATCATTAAAAAACCTGCAGGGCAATTGCTCATTGCAAAAAAAAAACGACAATATGTACGTATGTATTACACTCTACATATGTATCTACATATGACGGGAAGTTTATTACAAAAAGATAGTCGTAGCGTGACATTGGACAGATGACAGATAGCGGCAGTGGGGAAGAACAGCGATGCTGCCTCATGGCTCACGAGTGGTAGGAGATTCGCAGAAGGCCTTCGCAGCATACCATCGCGCATTTTTTTTATATTTTTTTGCCGCCTTGCTTCTACTCCTCTTCTTTCGTTAGTAGCCGCCGCCACTGACTGACATGACATTTGACATTTGAATGGGACGCGCAATGCGTGGTCATGGTCGCTTTTCGCATTCTGCGCTTCTTCCAGCTTTGTGTGGCGGCAAATCATAAAAGCTCTTTATCCGCCACTGCAGCAGGGTTAAGGAAATCAATGTTTGTCTTGTCCGGCATTAAATTGAAAATGAGGTGGCCTGACCAGACCGCTTTAGCTGCTTATGAGGATTGCTCATTACTATATTATGTTAAATATTTTTGCATTATTTCCAGTCGGAAGCATTCAGTGAGTTAGTGATATTTGGGTCTCGGAACCTGATGCAAATGCATAGTTTTATTGGGCATGTTCAAATCGAAATTGTTAAATTATCTTTACGAACCATGAAATTTCCTTTAAAATGGCATTCAATCGTTATTGCATATTTTAGTATATTTTATAATAAATGCAAGTGATTTTTGCATATTTTTGCTTTTTTTTATTTACAACCGTTTAAATTTAGTGCGAAATCTCTTGCCAAAAAAAAATGATTACAATTTTTTCTTAAATATTCATCTGAATATCTTCTCGGATAGCCAAGCGGCCATCTTCTACCTATATTAGATCTCAACTAGTGGAAGACTGTAGGGGAGCTGGCCTGTATCTCTGATCAATACGAAATTAACCAAATATGGTTCTAGGGACATAGGGACAGTTACGGAAAAGCGGTGGTAATGGGCGCCTCGCTCAGGGAGATAAAATGTATCACTCGACGGCTAAGCCGAGGTGGAACCGTGCAGGATCGTACAGGATTAGCCGGCAGTTCTGGGTGTCTAGGTGCAAGCCATTCCTGCAGAATGTTTTAGAGTTAAGCTGCCTCTCTCTATAAGACGTACTGAAGTTCATTAAAGCCGCCAAATGTCTGTAGGTTGCACGAGTTATGGAATCAAAATGGCACAATATTGTAACTGACTGCTTGATTATAAACCAATTTTATAAATAAATGTGTATTGTATTTTGAAGTGAATTATTTTCGTTAATTTTTTGTTAAAATGCATGTGTTATTTATTTAAGAATGTATAAGAACTGGTTAGTCTCCATGCAAAAAAAAAATGTTTGCAAACACATTAAAATTTAAAATAAAATCTAGTTTGTTTTGTTTAAGACGGCAATTATCACAGAACCTTTGAGGCCAAGTGCCAACTTCAGGCCAAAAGGCGCTCTATCAATGCAAATACTACAAATGTATGTATGCACTAAAAAATATCAGCAAGTTCTTTTTCATTGTGAAAAAAAACTCTTACAACATGATAGATATTATTTATATCTTTCATGAATATGCTATGCGAAGTATTTATGTCCGAGAAGTAGAAGTGGTAGACCATAAAAAGTTCTACCAAAATGATCAGAACAGTGTGCTGAATTGATTTACATTTGAAAGCCAACCTGTCCCTCAATTTTATAGATATTTTGCACTCCCTTCACTTATTACGACTAGAAAGTTTACAGTCCTTAAAATCGGGCCACTATAACTCTAGCTCCCATGAAACTACGATTTCGAATATGCTTTGATTTAAAGGCATTTTTAGGCAGCTAAAATCGTTCCATGTTGTTAGATATTTACATACTTGCCAATCACACAAGTTATACAGAGAAAATCGTAAATATCGGTGCTCTACGAGACATGTATCTCTACCTCTAACTTCATTCATATAACCTCCCCATGTAAATAGCTGAGGATATGAAATCGTATACCAAATTTGCTTTTTTAAATAAACAATTAATGGCGCTTTCGCGTATGCAAAAAATGTTGCCTATTCGTTGCCCGGTTCTTAGTGTTTGTGCTTAGAGGAAAATGAGAATGTAACATTTTTCGGTAGAAACGAAACCGCCATAAAATACAGTGATGATCATCAAGATCATTCAAGAATCGTTTAATTTTGCATAGAAATAACAAAACTGATACACAAATTTTTAAATATTACACTGAGAAAAGAGTACAATTACGTCAACTTAATATATTTCTCTTAAAACAAGATTTGGTGATAGTTACGTTATTTGGTTATAATTGCCGATTCTTGTATTGAAAGAAATATATTCAACTGACTCTTTTCTCAGTGTATGTAAATGAATTAACAAGACTCAAAAATATATTAAACCATTTATTAAAACTTCCTCAGTAAAAAAAAAAATTTAGTTATGTCAACTATGTAAATAAATATGTTTCTCTCAACACATGATTTAGAAGCTATAATAAAACCCGCTAGCCTGTCGAGGATAAGCCTAAAGCTTATAATAAAAAAAGTACTTCAGAATTCATTCGAATATTTCATTTTAAATATTTGAATGATATCTACTACCAACCAACCAATAAACCTTACTCGTTTTTGTACGCCTGTGAACAAAATAACATTTTAACCCCCGGATGCCCGACAAGGTCCCTTTACCGGTTCGACCTAACCGTCGCAGCCTTCGTGATTTCTATAAATGGTATGTCTAAAATCTATTCAAATAGTCTCTAAAACGATTCTGAGATATCGGTCATCATTATCATGGGAATTAGGTCATTATCGCGTCAATGTCCCACACGGTTCGCAGGGATCTTCTAGAGATCTTCATGCAATTTATTCTTCTTTCTTACCCATATATATGTATACATATTTAGTTAAAAAAAAAACAATTATACGACTCGCATCCCATGTTGGTAAGGAGGGTCCCTGGGGATCTTCACGGACATTGACCGTGTAGAGAGTTGTCGGGCAACCGATGCTTAAAGAGATGTCTGAATCTTTTTGTTCTAAAGTGTAAAAAATTAAAGCATTTCTTGTGCAGCACTTTTTAAGCAAAAAAAAAAATGGTTGAGTACAGTTACAGAAATGAAAAAAAATATATATATTTTAATATTTACATACGTATGTATGGTACTTATTTAATTAACAATTATTACAATAAGCGAAAATATATTCAAACTGCCAACGAAAATGACAACAAAATTAATTTGTAGAGGCAAGCAGTCAGAAACCTTGACAACATCCTGCTACAACAATAATATTGCATGTTTTGTTGTTGCAGTTGTTATTTTAATAGCTGTCATACCATACCATACGCACTTATATTCCCTGAAAAAGCAATTAAAATTACGCCTTCGCTTCCCTAGGGACTGCCTCTTACCTACATACATACATACATACATATTTACACAACAGCTACATAGGTGCTGCATAACTACATACAACTATGTAAAACAATAGCAACCACAAAGTTGAGATTATGAAAATCATAAAATTTAAATATACACGTTGGTGTCAAGTTTTTTGCTATTTATTGCAACAACAACAATAGCAACAATGAACGCATTACAATCATAAAAATTTAAACAAGTGAGGCAACATAGAGCAGTCAGCGACAGCTACATACATAGCTACCCGCAAACAATTCTGCGTCCAAGGTGCACCGCATTCGGGTAGCAAGTAACTATATATGTAGCTGGGTAGGCAAGCAGTCAGCCCGTCAGTCATTCAGTCCCTTTGCCCACGAAGCCACAGGCGAGCTAGTGATTACCTAGCCAAGCTATACATACATACATATCTATGTCTGAGAAGTAGCGCTGTAAAAATCGTATTACACTTTGTGAAATACAATAACTTGTATGATGTGGCATAATAAATTCGCATATTTTTCATAGTAAGCTGAAATTCTATAATAAGTCAAGTAAGCAAAGTAATAGATACAAATAATAAGAAGCATAATTTGAAACTTGGAGTATGTATGTGGCTACCATTCTTATTTCTAAATAATACATTTATGAAGAAATTGCAATACAAAATTAATTATAAGCAACTAACAATTTGTGTCAGGTATTTGCAGCAAAAAACTCATTTAAATAAAGAAATTAGATGCAAGTGAAATGCAATACACTAAAATGGGGATGCGCGTAGCAATACTTAATAATACCTGATCATAAATATATCTAAGTATATGTATATGGAAATAATATATATGTATGAATGTATGTAGCGTTTGCAGCACAGCGGGTAAGTAGTCAGCGGTGCGCTTATCAGGGCACAGAAGAACGCGACTGCAATAAATAATCATAAAAAAGTGATATGCTTTTATTGAAATACAAAATAAATAAATATGAGCTACATTGCTAAGCATTTGAGCAGCCGTGCGCGGTGGGTTCACTGACTGACTGCTGTAGCCCGCTCAACCGCTCGTGCCACATTAACCGCATTCGCATTCGCGCTGATAGCGCAGGAAAGCTATAAAAACAAAAACAATTTCAACGGTTGCACTATCTTTTTATTTTACTACGACTCGCTTGCTTG